GTAATTGTTTTATTTAACTCTATTTATTTAAATTTGACCAGAGAGGGATGAGGCAGGGCGAGGGGGTGTGTGGGAGTAAGAAAGCAAGCTGCCAGGTCCGGGACTCAAACTGCAGTCAGCCATGTGGGAGTACAGTGCCCTTAAACACGCTACCTGCTGGCCCCTAATTACTTGAATTTTTAACAGAGTCTAGGGATCTATCTGCTCACGGAGACTGAAATTTTCAGAAAGCTCAACTTATGACAACTATGATAAAGGTCAGGCTCATCATGAAACACTTAAAAACCTATCTTATTCCAAATCTCCAGGGACTGGTTTAATAACTTCTACTATCACTCTGAATAATTAATAAACCAGTTAAACTTGGATAAAATGATTACACTATCACTTAAGCAAATACGAAGACATCAATTCTTCAAGTTTACTTCCTCAGTGAGGTCATGGTACTAAGCACAGGACAATTCATTCCCTCACCCAGAGGATCATTACAGAAAACCCAGAAATAGGGCTCCCAGTCTAATTGGTGAGAGATAATGTTCCTCACACAGAGCATTGGCCCCTGAGAAAAGACAGGACAATTAACACAGCTTATTTGACCAGTCATTTCCTCCAATAGTTTATCTTAGAAAAATCCCCTGTGGTTTATGGCTATGTCACTAAGCCCAGGAGGTAAAGTTTGCCTTAGAATCACTTCTGGAACACTTCAATGGATCTTGTTCATTGTGAGGCAGACTGGCAAGACACACTAGAGACTGAAAAAGGGCTTGTCTCACAGAGCTCTCTGAATGGAGAACCATAGTAGTACTGGGATTACGACCTACACTGTTTGCAAATTTCTGATGTCACTCTAGTATATTCTGTACACAAGGGAAATTATTATTATGCTTCATCTAAATAATTTCGTTTTAGCCAGTTAAAAAGGAAAGCAAGAGAAAATATAACCATTATCTCCTAACCTCACTTACTCCCATATGGTACAAGTAGCAATAACAGGACAAATCAACAAAAAACACATTCAGGAGTCAAACTTTTCTGAGACGGTTAATTGCTTGACCTAACTACTCTGATTTGAGTTGGTTAAGGAAGTATTTCACTCTTGCTTCAAAGAGTGTGGGATAAGCCTCACTTACTGAATGAAATTCATTAGGGAATTCTTACAAGACTTCCTGCATTTGCACCATACCTAGGATGTTTTGTTTATTTAGATAATAACTCAGATAAATCAATGGTACATTTAGTACTGGCATCCTCAAAGGGAGAACTGGAGATAGGAAACAAGTCCTACCTCATTCCCTACAATTCTCACATCTCTGATTACCAATTCCCATTCATAATCTCAAAAAAAGTATTCAGTGAAATGAAATGCACAGTCTGAGCAAGCCAGAATTTCATCCACAGCAAAAAAAGAAAAAAAGAAAAAAAAAAAAGTCCTTCCTCTCTCTCCTCCCAGCTAAAGTGGAAACTCTTCATTGTTACAACTTGACAAGATTTAGACTCATCTAATTAATAAGATTCAAAGGTTAGGTTTCAGAGTTCTAAAGCCCAATCTCAGACAAAACATTTTTCCTGAGGTTTCTAATGAACAATTTGTTTTATTAAACAAAAGTCTAAAGATAGTATAGTATAGAACTTTTTTCTACAATATATTCTTTACTCTTATTCAACAAGAAAGTCACCAATCTTGGCTAACACTAACTTCATCACAAGGGTAAAAACACTTGATAGTCAAAAAGTCTACAACTCGGTCCCAGTATAGATATCAAACAAGCACAATACTGAGAATAACTGGTAAGCAACACAACATACTCAGGTACAAACCACTCCTGTGTTCAAGATAGCAAAGGAAACATGGTATTTTCTTCAGGTGAATTACATCTTAGAGGAAGTAAAGGCTGAAAACCACACACCCTTCCAGCTGGTATTAGTCACTTTGTAATAAAAAATTTAAAGCCAGCAGCAAACCTTCCTCCAGGATAATCATTTTTTGTCTCTGCAACATTATGAGCCAAGACGGGGTGCCCTCCTGGGCAAAAAATATCTTGGGAATGGTAATGGGAGCTTCCTACATCTGACCACAGATTTAATTTGCCCAGTATCAGTCATCTGTCTAATAAGTGTTTCAAAACCTGCAATTAGTACAAATATAAGGTAGGCACTATCCCACAAACTGAGAAACGGAACGTGAACGGAACTGGGCAGAGAGCTTAAAGGAAATTTCATTTTCTTTCTTTCTTTAAAACAACAACAACAGCAAACAGAGGGCTAGAAAAGGCAACATCAAAAAACCAGGTTGGAACAAACAGGACAGGCCCCCCTCCTTCCCGCTCTCTCCAGTCCATCTCCTTTCTCAAATGCCTCCCTCAGTCAACTGTTGCTGAACACAAGGCCCAGCAGACAAGGCGCAATCTCGGTTCGCTGCGCAGACGTTAGATTTTTGTGGAGGGCAGAGGTGATTCCTCCAGACCAGAAGCTGGAGTTAAAAACTCCTTTGCGGGGATTGTTCTGGGCTGAGCTGCTGAGGAGGATCAAGCAGCGGGCGATCAACCTAGGTCCCTCCCCCTCTCTTTGGTCTCTCCTCCCCTTGCGTTCAGTAAGGGAGAGGGAAAAAAAAAAAAGAAAAAAGAAAAGCACACAGCTTTCCAGCTCTCAGTTCCTTAAAAATACCCTTCCGGGGCCACCGCATACAATCCTGCCCCAGAAGCAAGGAATTTTGCAGCGAAGGGCTCGTCGATCCGGAGCAGAAAAGTGAAATCGGCGCCCAAGGGCAATTTTAATTGTCTAACCCGGCCCGATTTCCTAAGAGGCAGCAGCGCGGGGAGGGAAGAGGGTGGAGGGAGGCGGCAGGCACCTCGGAGAGGCAACAGGGGGCAAGCGGAGGCAGAGAAAGGGCACCAAGCGGCGAGATCCCAGCGCCGGCCCCCGAGGAGCTTCTGCAGAAGAGACCCCGGGGCTGCCCCCACTGTTCCCCGGGAGACGTTTGCAAATCATATATGCAGCCAAAATGGCGCTGAGAATAAAAATATAATTTAAAGGCAGGTCGCCATATTGTAAACAGAGAGGCAAAGAAGAGGCGGACTCGAGAGACAGCCTCCATGATTTCCTCCACAGCCGCAAGCGCCCTGTCGCGGGGATCTGGACCAGGGCAGCTCCAGAGGTCGAGAGCGCCGCGCATACACCCCGAGGACAGCCCAGTCCGGCAGGAGCCCCGAGGGCGGCGGGCGCGCGGGCAGGCGAGCGGCACTGCACTGGGCCCGGAGCTCCTCCCCTTCCTCCCCCGCCACCGCTGGCTGTGCCCGGCAGGCTCGGTCCCGGCTCCCCAGCGACTTCCAATCCCAGATGGGGCTCTCCTCACTCCTCCCAACCCCCACCTTGGGGTCCGGACCCACGGCTGCTCCTCCCCCCAAAACGGCCAGATCCCGGCAGACATCTGGGGGCGGGGAAGCGCTCACCCCAGCGGCTGCAGAAAGTCAGCTAGCGGCCGCAAGCGCCCGTTATTTCAGCAGGCAAGGGCAGGCCGGGTGAAGGAATGTACCGACAGGGGCCTCCAAGGGGGTCCCCCAGACCTTACCAGCACTGGAGATGGAAGGCGGCCGGGCAGTGGTCGCAGCACAGGAGATCTCCACCTTCCTTGCAGCTATCACAGCTGTCGTGGTTGGTGGCCCTGCCGCTTCTCCGGGGCTCCTTCTCAGGCTTCCGACTCCGCTTTTCTGTCTCGTCCGTCTTGGGGGGAGCCAGCAGAGCTTGGATTTGCTGCACACACATACAAACGGCGTGTGTGCACACTCGGAGCTCCCGGGCGGTTCGTCGCCCCCCCAACGTGGCTTCTCCGTCACCCACCCCTCTCCCCCCTTTTGTCCTTCTTCCTCCCATCCAGGCTGCTCTCAGAACCTCTCAGTCCCTGGAACCAGGGGGAGCCCACCCTAACCACGTTCCTGCAGCACAACAACGAGAACAGCTTCTTCCAAATGGGGAGGATCAGGGTAGGGGGATGGGGAGAGGGTGCGCGGTTCCCTTCTCGCCACTTCCTTGTATGGACAGTGGGGGACTCCAAAGCCCGGCTCGGGAGAGGCCCGAAGCCTGGTACCCGGACGTGCTTGGGGGAAGCACAAAGGGGCCGACAAGAAGGGGGTGGGGAGGTCCGCCGGGGCAACGAGATGGAGTGGGCAGGCGCCTCGGGAGAGCGAATCGAGGGCGGCGGGTAGGTGAAACTGCTGCAAACGTCCTCGGAGGCTGAGCTCAGCCCCACGAATTGCAAAGATGGGAGGGAGAGGCTGTGTGAGGAAGAAACCCCCCCTCCCCCGGCCCTCTGGCGCTTCGAGCTTAGGGCCGGCTTTGTGGGGCGGAGGGCGGAGGTTCCCTCCCCGCGCTAGGGGAAAGAGATGTGGAGGGCCCCTCTTACCTCCATCAGCCCCCCCGACGTGTCCAAGTCGTACACGATCGTCTTGGTCTCCATTTTCTCCCACATTCATCCACCTCCCGGGCTGGGCGCTCTCTGCTCCGGCCCCCCCAACCCCGGGGGGAGGGGGGAAACGGAGGAAAGGGGTGCTCCTGACCCCGGTCCCCCTTCTTTTTTCCCAACACAGGTCTCGACTTCCTCGCCCGGGCTCCCCCCCACCCCCCGGCCCCCAGTCCCCGGGCAGGCAGCCGCCTCCCCCCCCGCCGGCGC